GGCTTAAATCCTACATGAACTTGATTAAGTTTTTGAATGAAAAAGTAATGTGTCACTTATTCCAAACATTTTTTTGGATATATAATCACAAACATATTTGGAAAAATGTTTATAAAATATATTTTTGAGTTTATTTGTTTAAGATAATGCTATTTTTCATAACGAAGAAATTTGTAAACTCAGAGCTAATGGTTATCAACTTGAAATAGAAGAAATATGTTAGAAAGTTACTTGAGTGTCGATTTGAAATTTGACAATTCAAAACAAAGACATGAATTGAAAAAAAGTAAGAAAAGTCATCAAGCAAGTCTATTAGAGTCAATGTTATGTTCACATAATATTAAATATTTTGTGTAATTTTATATTTAAGTGCTCTAAACCTAATATCTGAAAGCTTACATTTTTTATTCTAAATATTTTTTAATATAAATAAAAAAAAGCCTAAAATTCAATTTTTTGTATTTTTATTATTCAATCAATTTATACATGATTGTTTTCAATTTTACAAAAAATCATCAAAATATAAGATCCAAATTAGTAGCATAAAAATATTTATATTGTTATGATTAAATTTGAAATATTAGATTGATATATTTCAAAATGAAGATGTTTAACTAAATGTGTATCATCTTTATATACTAATGTTTGAATTTCAACAATGATGAGTTCTTGAGTAAGTGTGATTATAACAAGAATTAATTGGAAACTATTGAGAAAAATAATAAAACTTTTTAAAAGTAAGATACGCTTATAATTTTCAAATTTTATGCCATTTTTCATATTACATGGATATGAAAATTCTCAAAATTTTAAATTATTTTAATTTTTTTAGCTTTTAATGTGCACAATATGAACATGAAAAAAATGTTGTCCAAACTATATCTGATTTGTTTGTTAATAATCTAAATGCGAACTATTGTATTATGAATATTTTATAAATAGCATATATATAATATAGGAGAAGATTACTTTGTGAAAAAACGTAGATTTGTAATTATTTTTGTTATGCTCATTAATAACATTGAAACTTTAGCATCAACATTTAAAGTTGTGAAGAGTAAATAGTTTGATGTAACCAAATAATGTTGAAAATAAAAATTATTGAATTGAAACAAAAGAATAACTTAAACTGTAAAATTTATGATATAGTTTTCAATGCATAGAGTGTTTGCAAAATGAAAGTTGTATGTTATTGTAAGTCAATTACATCACAACTCTTGTTTTATGGTGTAGTTATTATAAGACTTCATAATTATTTATATTGATTTTCAAAATAATAAAAAATGGACTCTTAATTGAATAGCATTAACATTTTTAATGTATATTCAATTATATATTTTGTTTTATAAAAAAATATATAACTTTGAATTGTATTGTAATTTAAAATGGAAATTTTTACATTATGTGCATGTGTTTAGAATACAAGTTTACAATATAATGTATAAAGTTAATTTTGTACTAAACATTATGTTGATTGATTATTTATATTAATAAGTTTTTTCTTTAAAATTATAATTTTTTTAAACAAAATATTTCCAAATGTTCATAATTGCGTCATTAATTTGCAATTCACAAATTTTACTGTTGATTTATTTATGAAATTTGAACTTGAAAAAACTAAACATTTTTTTTTTATTAACAAATTATTTTAAGTATGACTATATGATATAAGTTTATCATAAAAATAATATTGCCTAGAATAATTTTAAATTAAATAATTTGGAATTTTTTTATTATAATAGTATGAATAAGTCAATATTTTTTTATAAAAAGTATTATCATGATTTTTTAAAATGAAAAGCTTCAAAACTATTATTTGAACAAACGTTTCTGATTTATAATAGTTAATAAATAATTAATTCAAAATAGTATTTATATAAAACTGTCACAATTATTATTCATAATTTTCACAAAATCAACAAAAATAATGAAAGATATCATCTAAATCATTTGATGCATAATTGAAGTTCGTGGCAAAATTTTTATTTTTGACTTTATGATACATCGAAAAGTACTTAGTGAAATTTTTCAATCAGATCTATATAATACTAATTTATAAATTAGTCAATACATTTGCAATATTGAAAGTTAACATTCGTAATGAATTTTCACATGCGCATTTAAATTAATTTGTGAAATATCTCTTGATACGTCTTATCCATATGAATCTCATTGTAACATCTTCAATTAATTAAAACTAAAGTGAAGATTGTTCAAAACATTTATTTAGTTATTTTAGCAGAAACTAGTTGGTCTTAGTTGGAAATGCCACGTCAGCAATCCGTGTGGTAGTTATGGTTATTTGTCACGTAATTTATCCATTGGAAATGGTTATGATGGTTAGATAATATCTCATTTTCTTGTACTTGTTGATAAAAACTATATAAAGTAATGTATAACTTTAATTTGTATCTTTCATCTTCAGAATTTATGTTTCAATCTTTGACTAAGTTTTTCTTTGAACCATACAATTTACAATGGTTTCAGAGCGATATTATTCTTGAATTGATTACAGATTACTCTTCATGAAATAACAAGTGAATGATGATGGAGTGCAGTTCTGAGAGTATATATATAATGATAGAGGTCATTGATATGTAGGTAGAAAGAAGAAGAAGAGTGAAATTATGATTTTGTAGATTTGGACGTGCTCGACAATTGTAATCATATTTAGTTGATTAGAACTAAATTAGAGTTTACTCTAAATGTTGATATAGATATTTTAGTGTCCACTAATCATAGTTGTCATGTTAGCGATCTGCGCACTTGGTACGTACAGTGTGGATGTGTTAGTTGACAGTTTCACGTCAACAATCTGTGTGCTTGTAGGTAAGCATTGAGTGTGTTAGTTGGGAGTGCCACGTCAGCGATCCGTGTGCTTGTTAAGATTATCCGCCACGTAATCCATTCACTAAGAGTGAGTTAGATTGTAAAGATAAGATTTTATCTCATTGTACTTGTTAGTGAGAGCTATATAATGGAAAGGAAAATCATTGTTGATATCTCTCATCTTTAGAGTTTAACTTTTTTATTTCGAGTGAATTTTTATCTCAACCCTAGTGTTACAACTGTACTTCAATACCGCACTGGCCGATTCATTATTTATTCAATATTCATTTTTGTTGTATGTAGAAACATCATTCGTGGATGTATATTGTGGTTTGTTAGGGTGCAAATTTCATGACTAGAGTGAAACTGATTTTTCAAATTGTTTGTTGTGGAGAGATTTGAGATTGTATCATATACATTATATATTGAATGATTTTTTGTTTATATTTTTAATGAAAAAATATATATTTATTTGAATGATTTGCGATCCAAATTCCAATTTGAGGCTCGATTTAAAAGTAGTTGATTTTTTTGTTCTTTATCGTATTATTTTGAATATTTTGCAATCTAAATTCCAATTTGTGTTTGGACTGAAAAAAAATTCATTTTTTGTTCTTTGTTTTATCAATTTGAATGATTTGCAATCCAAATTCAAATTTGTGTTTGGATTGAAAAGGAGTTTGTTTTTTTGTTCTTTGTCGTATCAATTTGAATATTTTGCAATCTAAATTACAATTTGTGTTTGGATTGAAAAGTAATTGATTTTTTGTTCTTTGTTGTATCAATGTGAATAATTTGCAATCCAAATTCAAATTTGTGTCTGGATTGAAAATGAGTTTGTTTTTGTTCTTTGTCGTATCAATTTGAATAATTTACAATCCAAATTCAAATTTGTGTCTGGATTGAAAATGAGTTTGTGTTTGTTCTTTGTTGTATCAATTTGAATAATTTACAATCCAAATTTAAATTTGTGTCTAGATTGAAAAGTAATTTGTTTTTTGTTCTTTGTCGTATCAATTTGAATAATTTACAATACAAATTCAAATTTGTGTCTAGATTGAAAAGTAGTTTATTTTTTTGTTCTTTTTCGTATCAATTTGAATAATTTACAATCCAAAATTCAAATTTATGTTTGGATTGAGAAGTAGTTTATTTTTTTATTCTTTGTTGTATCAATTTGAATAATTTGCAATTCAAATTTATGTATGAATTGAAAAATGGTTTATTTATTTGTTTTTTGTTGTATCAATTTGAATGATTTGCAATCCAAATGTAACTTGTATCTGGATTGAAAAGAAGTTGAATTTTTTTTTAATTCTTTGTTGTTTGCAATACAAATTCAAATTTATGTTTGGATTGAAAAGTAAATGATTTTTTTCTTATTTATCATATCAATTTGAAGTATTTGCAATCCAAATTATAACTTGTGTCTAGATTGAATATGAGTTGATTTTTTGTCGTATCAATTTGAACGATTTACAATCCAAATTTTAATAATAAATCAGATAAAATTTCACTAATTATCTATTTGAACAATCTAATAATCTATCATGATTGTTTAACAAGCCAATACCAAACTAAAATCAAGCTAATCAAAGTTGCTAAGAGATTTAAGTTATGTCTTTTTCATTTTGTATCGTATACATTTTTGGTCACATCATGTACACTAAGAGATTAAGCGTGTGGGCAATTCATCTCTTTCGCTTTTTGATGTCTTGGCCCATCAATAGGCTGTGAAAGTGTCCCGATTTGATCACTTAGAAATCATCATTATTTATCTAAGTTCTCAATGTTTAGTGAAATAGAGTGATTTGTGTCGGAATCATGGTGAGTACAGTATACTCGGCCTCTTGCCAAGAACGTGGACATGAACATCGAACTGTGAAATTTCGGATGACCTTCTAGTTAACACAACTTGTGAACAAAAGATACAAGTATCGACAACGACGGACAGCAGAGTAGAGATACCGTCAGAGAGAGCAAGATGTCAGAGAGAACGAGACATGCGTACAGCAGTTACTCCTCGAGTGTACGGGATGCGCGTGCGAGGACCGGGCGACAGGCCGACGGACGAGTTTCTGAGACCTCAGCCAACGCCATTGGCAGAAAGGGCTCGTGATTCGTGGCGCCAGTGCAACAGGCCCCAATTTCCAGCATCATAGGACCGAGATAGTTAGGGTTGGTTTCGGAGGCTCTAAACCCTAATCGCTGAGGTCCGCGTCCGTCTTGATTCCTGGAATCGCGAAGTTCTTGTATCAGTTCGGCGGTTCTTGTATCTGCTGTTTTCAAAGTTTCTCATGGCGCGCCCGATCGGACGGTGGATCGCCTCCCATTGGCTAATATCACCCTTTTGTCACCCCTCTGGTTGCAGTTTCCCGTTCTCCCCTCTCCCCTCGCTCACTCATCCCCCTCCCCCACCCCCTTTGCCCTCCGGGCTCTGATTTCTGAGTCTGGTTTCCTCGGCCAAAGTAACTCGCGTAGTAAGCGCAAATCGGAGTCTCAGCCCGGGCACCCGTGTCCGATTTCGAAGGTGAAATTTGAATTTCCGCACTCGATGTACCACTGCCTCTGGAAATTGCTGGTATCGGTAGTTTCTTTGTCGACTTTCGAACGGTCGAAGCTTCTTCAGTCGAGATTCCTCCAAAATCGAGCCGATCATAAGCTCACTGATCTCAGACTGCATTTGAAGTTCTCCCACTCCTGTCGAGAGGCAGATGGAGTCTGGGAGCATGTCTTCAGCTCTTGCTAGTGGATTCTGCAGTGTTGGGAAGTCCTGTCTGTCTTGTGCTAGAAGTGCGCTGTTTCACCCTCGTCGGGATTTCTGTTGCAGCATAGGTCTTGTCGTCTGGGCATCCTCAGTAGCTCCTCCTGCTCTGTGAAGAATCGTCACCATCTGCTTCGTTTTGCGCCGTCGGACTGTTTTCATGTCCTAGCTTGTCCAAGCACGCTGTATAGATTTCACTCTATGCCTTGATTCCCCGTATGAAACTGTCGAATGTTTGTAAATTGCGCGCTTTCATTCGGCAACTTTCCACAGTGCTCGAGACTGTAATTTTCTCCCGACTCCACAGTTTCACGTGGACTGGTTTTGAATGCTTAATGGGTTCATTAGACTCAGCAAAGTACTTTTATTTCCTCAGTTGAAAGAGTCCAATGTGGACGACTGTGAACCCCTGTTTCACTGTAATTTAGTTCTTTGACTGTTTTGTTAACTCTTATCGTACTTTTCACTGAATGCTGCAGGTGCAATTTTTTATCACAAATTTGCCGACACTGGTCAGGTCCGCCATGATCACTGAGAAGGATCTGCTTTTGAGTGTATGGGATCGCCAACCTCAACGAGCCAGCAGTGTTCACATTTTTACGTTCATGTCGTGAATGTTGGTGACTCCTTACTGATACTGAACCGTTTGATATGGCGGAATCGGAGACGACATCGCGGCAGGGGTCCAATCCTGTTTTGACTAGAAAACTTGCTTCCACGGACAAGAGAACACGGGACAAGGCTGTAGCTCTACTTGCACTGTGGATATCATGTCAGCAGGAGGTTGATGAAGATAACCTGAAGAAGGTATGGAAGGGACTGTTCTACTGCGTATGGCACGCAGACAAGGCTCCAGTTCAACAGGAGCTTATAGAAAATTTAGCTGGTCTTCTCGACAAGGCAGACCCGGAAGTGTCGATCACCTTTTTCAAGGTTTTCCTCTCAACTATGAGAAGAGAGTGGGGTGGTATCGACCAATTGAGGTTAGATAAATTTTATTTATTGCTGAGGAGGTTTCTGTCCCACATGTTCAAGGTTTTGGAAACCAGAGGATGGGACCAGGGCATTACTGTCAAGTTCATGGAAGCTCTGGAGGAAAGGGCGTTTTTGGCCAATGACAAATTCCCAGCGCTTGGAGTTAATCTTCACTTTGCAGATGTATATTGGGACGAGTTCCGAAAATTCCTTCCTGCTCCCCGGGGAGTTTTGGGGCTTCTATTGGAACCATTTATTTCCATTCTCTCCCGTAGCACGGACAAGGTTATGCTGAAGAGGGTCAGAGACAACATATTCAATCCCCTAGCGGAAGATGGACGCAACCTTTCCCAAGATATAAAAGAGAAGGATGGGTCCGAGAAGAAGGCCCGAACGCTTGGTTACCTTCTCCACTCTACACCAGTTGTGTCTCGTCTGTTTGAGCTGGCTTCTACAGCATCCACACCTCAAGCGAACAGGAAGGTGCTCTATGAACTCCATGACGAGTTCAGCAAGGTTGCGAAGGCTCTGGACTCCATTGATCAGGCTGTTTATGATAGGTATTTTCAGGCAAAGGAAACCAATATCGTCGGGCAATTGGCTCAAGGTGATGCAGAGGATGTAGTGGAGGAAGGAGGACGAATGTCGCGGAGTAGACTTAGAAGGAGGCAGGCTAGAGCACAGGCGCTGGGTGTCAAGGACCCAGTATCATTCAAATCAAAGAAATCAAGCAAGTCGAAAACGACACTTGGCAAGAAGAATCGTGACGAGGAACTCAACGGGAACGGAGATCATCAAGCTGTAGAAGTAGAAGGCGGTGAAGGTGGCGATGGGGGAGAGCCACCTGCAAAGAAGAAGCGGAATTCGAAGAGCGCTGTTGTTACTGCTGGAGTGAATCTTCCACTTTTGCAGAAGCGATTGTCGAAGAAAAAAGAGAAGAAAAAGAAAAAAGATGTTGTCTCTACGGTCTCCGAAGAGAGCTCTCTGGGAGCTGCGTCTGTCACCGAGAGTGCCGTCGTCCAGCCATCGTCCACTCCCACCGGGGTGGCTGAAAATGGTCACCGAAGCATTAATGACGTGACAATGAATTTGGAGAAACAATTCGACTTCGTTGCTGCCGAAGATGAGGATAGGTCGCCCAAGAGCTCCGGATCACAAGACTCGTCTTGTGAGACGAGAGGCAAGAAGAAGAGGAAGAAGGATAAAATTGCGGCCCAGGCTGCGTCCCAGGCTGCGTCCATGGTGGAGGACGTACCCGATGTACCCCAGGAAGCAGCAGATGTGGTAACCCCCTCCAACAACGATGATAACAGCGATGTTGTTGTGAAGAAAAGTAAGAAGGTGCGGTTTGCTCTCAGGAACAATATTGTGTGGAAGCCTCAAGGTCCGCTTCCTCCACTGTCTGTGCGGACACCTCCTTCGGCCACTCCCCGGGGAAGTGCTCTGAAAGTAGGAGTTCCTCCTGGACCTATCCGCACCAGGCCAATTCGTGTTACGAGGGGAACAGGCATGAAGTCAAGGAAACGCGTCACAAAGCAATATATATCAGCGTCTTCTCAGAAGCCAACTAGAACTTCCGCAAGGAAAGTGAGACGTCAAAGTGTGTAGACAGCAGGAATTCGCTTCGGAACGCGGAGGAATTTGGAAGAGTTTTCGCTCAGATATCCCCAAGGTAGGCCGGACGTCAGCTAACCTTAATACACGAGCTCCTGTGACTTTTACAGCTGAGTAGCTCGCGAGTTGTAGTTCTAGTGGATGCCCAATCATTGTCCACTTAAAAAGTTTATTCGGTGCCGCTTCAAGTCGGATTTGCGTCAGCTGTTAGACTCCATGGAGATGTTTGCCGTGAGTCTGCCATTGTGGGGCGTGTCATTCATTGATATTACATCGTTCCAGGGCCGGCTTGGTCCTGAATGCTTTCTACTGCATCGATGTGAACATGACAAATATGTCCACAAAAGTTAGAGTTGGGTCTAACCAACAATCTAGAACATGTCGTTCAGGCCATGGGCCATGGCATCAGATAGTGCCCTCTCTCGGCTCTGCCCTTCTGTACGATTCAGCCCCCTCCCCCCATCCTCATTGTGTGGGGTGAGCAATCACAACTGCCAGTCAAGAACATTTCTTGTTCCTTTTCATGTCTGGGGGTTCTGGACCGATGTAGTAAGCACATGTGCACGATATTTGGATCAAAAGGCTATTTGTGCATTGAGAATCGCCCTGTCTGAACAGATACCTCACCGCTCTAGTTCTAGATGTACACTGCAACACTGTAATCGCCTTGGGCTCTCGCAGCTAATTGTCCGTCAGATAATTGCCGTCCAACATTGAGCTTAACCGTGAGTAGTTTCACCTGCTTGAAACCATCTTGTGAGCTGTCTGTCTTACATAACTCCCCATCGAGATCGAATTGCCTCATCACTTCCATTCCGATCAGCCGTGTAGGAAAATCTGAGAAAAAAGTTTATTGGAAGGAAAGCGGGACAGTGGCTTCTCAATGCCACTTGTTCAATTTTGATATAGCTGCGTCTGGCAACGACGTTCGGTTACCCACTAATGACAGCAATGTGTCGGAGCCCGGGAGTGTGATCTGGGCATTTCTACGCACATGTATCGGTGACTATGTCGAACTAAAGCGCCAACCAATGTAGTCGGCAGGTGAAACATGGAATACTGGCAAAATTTCCTGCTAGCACTCATGTCGACAGACATCTAGGGCCGTAGACACTCTTACTTTGCAAGGAAATCTTTGTCTTCCAGCCGAGATGGTGCCTTCCGAGCTGTACACTTGAATGATCTCGTGTCATTGTTCTGTACATCACCACACCTCCTTTTCAGTGGACCTAAAAGGCTATAATCACTGAAGCTATCGGCCAGTAGAGACCTTGGATCAGAATGCAGCCACAGTCATAGTGAAGACAGGATCGATAATTAATACCTGACAGCTGTATTGTGAAAATCAGCTCACCGTGAAAAGTCGCGATGAGTTCCGAGCCTTTACTGTGGGGAAATGATTAAAGTCAAGTCGGGAAAAGTGGACAGTCATATGCCCAGATGTGTTCGGAAGCTATCAGCATCAGATCCATCTACACGACGCTGACGTTCAGCATGAATAAGTTGGGAGTTATGGTCGGGAGAATTCTGTGGGGGAGGAGTCTTTAACAGGCTGTGAACGACTTTCAACGGACCAGCACACGTCTCTGCCACTAAACTCACACTCTTGAGGTTCGTAGCCTGAAAGCGTTAGCAGCATGAACACAGAACATGGTGACATGGAATTAGCCATGTCACTTCTGTCGGACAACGTGGTCTCAAGTTGCGGAACGAATGCTGCGTGGACTGGATTTCATCTGGCTCCGTGTGAACCGAACAAGTCGGCTCATGTCTAGTCGGAGAGAATAGAAACTGATATGTGTATGTATATGAATATAAGTAACATTTATTTACATTATATATATACATTGATGCCAAATGGCCAAAAGATGTGTGCTGTACTTTGATTCATGTTTTCTTAACTACAACATATTTTCGGTGGTCCGTCAAGAATACTGCATAAACAAGACGGGTCGTTTTTCATCGGGCGTGGTTTACTGGACATAACAGTTCTGCTGGGGCCACTTCAATTTCATAGTTGGACGACTGTCAATAAATATGTATGGTTAGTGGATGGATGAATTTCCTCAATTTCGTAATTTATGTGTTAGAGACCAAACGGCACAAAAGTTGTAAAATACTAAATTTTTGGAAACATGCTTTTCTCTGAACACTTTACGCAAACCAAACATGTGTATGTTCGATATTCTATGTGCGAAGGAGTTGGTGCCCAGGATAAGTCTGTATGCACATCTGACGAAGGGCCTAGTTGTCTCAACGGTCTCATTCAGAACATGCGCGGAGTGGTAACTTCAGTACGTTTGACTTTTCAACACATCTGCTGATTTCGAGACATAACGAATAGAATAAAAGCTACCAATGCAACGACGTTGCAAAACGACTGGTAGAGTCCTTCGGCGTCTGGTGGGAATGACAAACGATGCCGACTGCTACATCGTGTCTCATGGAAAGTCTTATGTCGAAGTAATGTCCTCCTGAGCTAAACAATGAGGAGCGCAATCGTCAGATCGATACGAAAAAGTCTTCTGCTGACCGTGAGCCCTCGTTGCTGCAGAATCCCAAAGAGATGCGAGATTCCTTGCAGGTCGTTCTGGCAGGACGTCTATTTATAAGAATGTCGTCGAAGGTGAAGCGCATTTGATGGCGACGGTGATGAGCGAATGTGGGTTCCACGATCGAGTGCATTCTGCGTGATGCCAATTTGGAACTGCAGGTAGCTTCACTTTGTGCCCAAAATGGTATGAGACTGTACGCTCAGGTGGATTCAACACATCCAGAGCGGATCGTGGCCTCCATGGGATACAAATACAATTGTTACATTGGGATTGGAATCCGCTTTGACTCCTGCTTTCCAGCGATGATGGAATTGCGTATTTGTCAACACTTCCCATGGAGGCCATACAAACAAATGCACAATTCCATCATGCGGGCAAGCAGGAGAGGTGCGAGGAAAAGTTCATGTCTCCATTGTGTAGAGTTTTTTAGAATCGACAGCAAGTCAACGAAGGCTCGGGAAGCGAGTCCGGAGAATTCCGTGGCCACGCAAGGAGAAGGGTCGATGTGCCTTCTCCGTGAGCAATTACTCGCGGCGACAAAGGTGCGGGCCCATACCCTAGGGACGGACTTCCTTCGCATTCAGTAGGAATTCAGGCGCTCCTGTGTTCATCTTGACGATCGATGCGAGGCGACCTGGACGACGGCAGAGATTCTCGAATAATCGCGCGGGAGAGTTTGGAAGCTCTGAAATTATTTCTGGAGATTAGGTTTCGCTCTATATACACGGAACGAGGCTGTCAGTGCTCTCTCTCTTGATTTTATCGAGCTATCACAATCGCGCAACGAAGCATCCCCTCAGCAAGCGGTCGGCTCCTGGAGCCGGCGTCTGTCTCGGGGGCTGCTTACGAGTCTTTCGAGTTCTCTGCCGTCGATCACTTAAAGGTATGAACGTCGCAGTCATGCAGATGAGTGTAGGCTTTTGTGCTTTTTGTGCTGCCATGTTTCTCAATTACGTATAAAGAACTCGATCGAGAATCTGGGATTGCTGAGACTGGGCCTCATGTCATGGCCAGACGGACATCTCAGACCTCACTCCTAATTGTTTGTGTTCCAATTTTCGCATTGAGAAGAATTGCATTGTCTGTGTTTCGGAGTAGATGTTTTGTGAAATTTGCGATTTGTTCTTCAGTTGAAGAACTTGAATGTCCTGATTACAGATCATGGCTGCCTTACCAATGAAGCCCGGCAAAGTCGGAGTCGAGGAGGCTACTGAGACGATCCATCGAATCCGAATTACTCTCTCTTCCAAAAATGTGAAGAATCTTGAAAAGGGTGCATGACTGTCTCTCGATAATGTGGATGTCTTTGGATTTGATTTCTGTGATCTTGCCTCAGATGGCTGAGCTGAGATTCTTATTACCTTTCCTTGATGTTCGACTCCGCTTCGAAGCTGGAGTCGAGCAAGAAAACGATGTCCCAAGCAGCCGATCTGAGTGTTGTGAATGTGCATGTGCAGTTTGTGCTGATCTCATTCGAGGTGCCAAGGACAAGAGGTTGAAAGTCAAAGGACCAGTCCGCATGCCCACAAAGGTCTTGCGAGTCACCACGAGAAAATCTCCCTGCGGAGAAGGTCAGTTTCTGCGTCGACAGCATATTTTCCTCCTTTGTAGGTAGAATTGAATAACGAGAGGAAGTTTTGTGGTTCGACTTGAACATCGTTCTGGATTCAGACACGTCTGGTTCTTCCTCTGTGGGAGTTGTGACGATGCTTTGCACTTGCTCACAGGAACAAACACTTGGGATGGGTTTGAATTACGAGTCCACAAGCGCGTGATCGACTTGCACAGTCCTCCTGAGGTAGTCAAGCAAATCACCAGTATCACTATCGAGCCAGGTGTTGAGGTCGAAGTCACAATTGCTGACGTGTAGGAATCGCCACTTGTTAGTTGTGCTAGGATCTGTCAAAAAATCCTTCGGGCGTCGTTGATGAGCAACAATTGGAGTTGTTCAAGCTGCATACTGTCTAGGAAATTTCCGAGTTGTTGGTAGTCACTTTGTATAAGTCCAAACTCGGACTAAATATGGATCAACATGTACTGTCCCGCAACAGAGTAGTAACAGATCATGATTCTCATTCTTCCTTCAGTTTCTTAAGTTGAGAAGCGGGAAGGAGTTCTTTGTATCTGGAATCGATTGCTTGAAAATTTTGGTACATGGCAGTGTCTGTATGATTTGATAAAACTTGTTATTCAGTTTTCTGTATATCATTCTACCGCAAGTAGATCTCCTAGACCTCTGGTTTCGAACCAGCTGGAGAAGTCCATGAGCACACTTACTCACAATGCTACAGATCACTTGTGACTGAGAAGTGGGAACGGCTGTATGCCGTGAGCTTTCCAAAAGGCAGGGTTCAGTGAAACTGGGGATCTTTTATGTGTAAAATGATTTTCACCTAAAAAATAATAATTCAACTGAGGAGTGAATACCGGAGCATTTCCAGATGCTCACTCGAACACTGCTTCCGGGTTGTGGCCACCACTTACACTAGGTGAACATCGTGTATAAGTGATATAGCCGTCCGAAGTTCGTATTTCTGATCCTTTGCCTACTAATGTACAATATACTTAAACACAATAAGTGTTCGTTGTTTCAATTACTGGTAAAATTTTAAAACTATTCGTAAAATCTGGAAGTAATTTCAGAGTTTGGTTTGTCAAAATATTACTCATATTGATCAGCGTAACTTCTCCAGGTTCAGTAAACTGTGCAGATGAAGTAATTTCCTCCTTTCAATCATCAAGTTACTTTCATTCTGTTTGGCTTGGGTACCCTATATCTCCATACAATTCAAGTAAAAATCATTCATCACACTTGTGTTTCGTGAACTGATTGATTGTACACCCATCTTTTAGCTATGAACACATGTTTACACGAAAAATTATCTTGAATTCACTCCAATTTTACCACTTCCCCATCTGGTGGCATGTTGCAATCGGGCCTGGCTGAGGGGCCTGGCTGAGTCGAAGAGTGGGTTGTGTCCTCTCATCGACGATTCATGATTACATTAGCACGTCCAATTCAGACAGAATCACAAGCTGCGTGCATGGAGTTTTTCTTCGAAAAAAGGCCCTCACTTCTAAGATTACCATTGGTATCAAGTTCACAATGTCTTCAGGTTGGCATGCGACCTTCCATGCCGTCGTAGAATCTGCGATGGAAGATGACTACCATACATCACCAAACTGTAAAATACTCCCGTCCATCGACGAATCATCCTGCAATACCTCCGAGACACAAATGGCCGAGACTGTTCGACTGCCTCAGCCTCAGTCTTCTTAATCGTGGCATTGTTGTCACCCTAGAAAATCGAGGAAGAAACATCTGCAGACCCGGGACGCGTGTGCAAATACGAAATGGATGTTCTGGTGAAGCGAGAATTTGCTCCGCTTCGCTCAAGCCGTCCACATAATATACACCTCAGGAGCGCTACTAAGGTATCTCTCAAGTGGAAACACTACATTCCCGGCAGGATTGTCACTGCACTTGGAAACTATTAGTATTTTGCTAGAAGAGCGAGAAATTACAATTCTGCGAGATTCCAAGTCCCAACGCACCTTCATGTAGACATTCGTCCGAATTCATGGGTATGGTTTTCCAGGCCTTCACTTGGAACGGATGTGTCGAATCATCATGTAAGAGTTGTTTATCCTCGACGCAAATCGAAGCGATGTGGTCAGGGGTCGGTTCGAACAGAACAAACTTCCAGCTACTTGCAGCTTCTTCCCGTTGTGCCACAGATCTTGCCAAATCGAGAGTGATCAATTTGGCCTGCGAATCTGCCGGTAACTCCATGACTTTCCTGAGAAACTCACGGGCTTCAGGAGAAGTCTCCAATCCAAAAGCGAAGTCCTTGAAAGGCACACCGCTGATTCCCTTCCCCACTGCCTTGACGTACGATTCCTTCAGAGTCCACAGCTGCAGGAAACTATGACGCTGCTGCCTGGTGTCAGTGAAGTCCTGGAGCCAGTCCGCTTCCGTCGACGATAGCTTTTTGCGAGCGAATGTCGTAAGTTTCGAAGACAGCTTCCGGTCCTTCTCCTCGACGTCGACGCCGACAGCAGAATCGAGGGCAACAGCACAAGCTATGATCGAGGTGGTGTGCGAGAGGTTGAAAGACAGCCCTGGAGGCTGCCAAGGCCGTCCATCTGTCGTAAGAGCAGGCCAGATCACCTTCGGTTTCCCGAAAGAATTTTTCTCAAATTTCAAAGATGACGGATCGACTGCTCCATTCACATATCTGGCAAGAGTACTGCGGACGAGGGTTCGTGCCAGAAGGCGTCCCGTTTGAAGCTTCTGCGTCCTGGCTTTCGGAATGTCGGCCAACTCCTCTGGCGAAAGTAGCTTCTCGTAGTGTTTCAACAGAGATCCATCCACCTCGTCCGGGAAGACGCACCAGAAGTGGACCTCTCGAAGGGCTGGTGGTGGTCTCAATAGCTGACCTGGCCACATGGAGGAAATTCTCATGTCCCTCTCTCCCACCGTCCTGAGTTTACGAGACCTCCAATTAAAGACCTGAAGAGTTGACAGATGCACCGTAGTCCTTGCATTTCTTCGGAATGTGCCCGCAATAAGCTCTGATAGTGAAACCCCTCCTCGCAAATTCGACCCCCTACTCGGGTCGGCAGATTTCTTCACGAAACACCAGTGCTCGCAAACCCTAACCTACACCCTTTTCCACAATCCTTCTGGATTGCGCATGCCGATTCGGCGTACACCTTTTGTAATAGTATCACAGGACCTCGGACGAGTCTTATTCTCCGATTCGATTATTTCGCACTCATCTTCACAAATTCTAGAGATGTCAGACAACACACCTTATCCTCTGGAAGCGTAGCTGGAGAGAAATGGAGGTGGCGCCACGGCAGTCAAATTCTGCTACAAGTGAAGTTTTGGAGCCGCAGTCGCCCCGAGCCATGCGTCTGGTCAAAGGACTCATCGTCCACAGTAGAGCGGGAAGACATGTGCTGCACTCGGAAGTTTGCCTGCACATCAAGGGAGATATTCCATCTACGCTCTGGTGAGCGGGCAATTGCATTCGAATCTTCATGGCAGGCTTGTCTGACTAAAGCCCACAACCTTTTCCTCTTCATACATCATAGTTTCGATGTTTCCAACCATCCCGTCGGTGAACTTACATACGGACTCGTGATTCAGGTGACTCATCTATTCGACGTCTATGATATACGCATGGCCAAGATTCTTCGCTTCAAGTCGTTGGCCGCGAGATTGATCTTACAAGTAGTTAATTTGTGGACTGGCTAATTGAAGAAATTCCACACGTAAATACATTACTGTCCGAAGGTAAGAGCCTTTAATCGACTTGACTACCCACATTTTCCTCATGCCTTAAACCTTGCCGACCGAAGGTAATGGTAGGAATAAACTACTTTGTTCACGTTTACATTTAGGATATGGCTATTACATTTTGCTGCTCTTAGACGTACTTAAACCCTTAGCGCGACTTACACAAAATATTCTTCAGGTGACATTCAGTCGTACAGCAGCCAAAAACGCTTCACAACTTTCGAATATTACTACAAGCAAGACGTTATAACCCGAGGAATTATGAGCATAGGTTGATATGTAGCTGACATGCTCGAGGGCGTGATTCCGCTGCGAAACCCAACTTTCACCATTGGTCTAGAGTCACAAAACTAATACACATGCACACAATGATAGAAATGCGGAAGCACCTTTTATTATGAGCTGATATATTTACAACAGAGCTTTAAGCAAAAACGCATCTGTCTGTCCTTGTGGTACGTGGGCAGAGTGGTATGAAGAACTATCCGGGCGGTAGGAAGCAGACTGCAAAGGCGAACTCGTTCCCCTTCGGACCATCAGCAAGGAGATCTTTGTCAGATGAGGAGTCACCATGTGCATTGACTTGTTTCTCTTCAACCGGAATTGATCATGTCCACCAAGTGCTCCAGCTAGCAAAGCTGGGCCTAAGTACCAAGAATCGTTGGACACAGATAGTATGGCATCTACTGAATACCCACGGGCAGGGGTGTTCCAGCAGAAAATGGAAGCACAGAGATCGCAATTCCTCGACAATAGGCGAGAGGAGATGGCTTAGGCTCGTTCGCCGCGAATTCTTCGAGCGAGCTGAATATCTTTCGGCATAATCGTCACACGCTTGGCATGAATCGCGCAGAGGTTAGTGTCCTCGAAAAGTCCGACGAGGTAAGCCTCGGCCGCTTCTTGAAGGGCCAGGACGGCGCTACTCTGGAACCGCAAATCAGTCTTGAAGTCCTGGGCAATCTCTCGAACCAGCCTTTGGAATGGCAACTTCCTAATCAGAAGCTCAGTGGACTTTTGGTACTTCCTGATCTCGCGCAACGCCACGGTTCCAGGCCTGTATCTGTGAGGCTTCTTCACTCCTCCGGTGGCAGGAGCCGACTTGCGCGCAGCCTTCGTCGCCAGCTGCTTGCGAGGCGCCTTGCCTCCCGTGGACTTGCGAGCTGTCTGCTTCGTTCGAGCCATCTCGAAACACTGGAATTGGAATCGGCCGACGAACACGATGTCGAAATCACAGGGGATGAACGGAACGCTCTAGACTCACGACACTCGAGGGGGACGGAAGGACGTGAGAGTGGGAGATTGGCGAAGAGATTGCTCACGGCAAAGAGAGAACGGGAGAGTGTAAGATTGGTGATTCTGTAGGGGCCGACCAGGGATTAAGTAGTTCGTTCGAGAGGGGTCTCTGCGAGCCGCGGATCGCATTTGAATTTCGCGGGAGCGTGGATGCGCTCAACTCCCCGCGAGATTCAAATCGGAGGTTTGAATTTCTTCTCCGCTTTTGACTGAATGGGAAGTGGGCGCTCACTTGGTACAACAGTCGCTCTGGCCCGAACCGGCTCTTTTCGGCCAAACCCTCGGTGAGGGACGCGCTGACCGGGGGACCCGGTCGCCGAAATATGTCCATAAGGACAGAACGAGTCCCGCACGACGGTGTGAACGCCGCCAAGTGGATAGACATCCAAAAGGGAGCAATTTAACGAAGAGTCGATTTTTTTGTCCTTTCTTCTTCTTCTAGTGACTATAGAATCAAAAGTCGATGAAAGATTTTGTGTTTTATTCTCCCCATGAATGTTACCAATATTTGAGAGTGGTAACATGAAATCAAGTTATTTCTTACTACTGGTCTCATAGGTTCTTTAATATGTTTCGTTGTATTTTTTGTCTCAAGAGTTTTAACAGTAGTGGCTAATTAGCCTCCCCTTATCTAATTGGTGGAACACCCTATGATTGCTACTGCATCCCTATTACAAAATTAAACCTCCCAATAATGTCAACTCTTAAGAGTTACATACTCTCGTTAGTGACGTAAAATTCTAGAACCAATAATTTCTAACTTGTAAATCTGTTAGATACGTCATTATTTCCAATAGTGACATGATACTATACAATGGTGACTATTTTGGAGTAAAAATTACTATATGATCACAATACATAGCTATGAAACTAAAAAAGTTGTGACATACGTTTTTTTGAAGCTATATTTCTACAATTCACTCTTTTTGGGCTTCAGTAGAATAATTTGCTACATTTATTATCATCAATTATTTCACTGAGAATATTGTGTATTAATCTGAATTCAAAGGTAATTATAATAGCTACATTAATCATTGTGAACAATACAGATGTGCACATGAAGTCAATTTGAAACTAAACAACACATTTATAAAATGGTCTAGGATTGATGTATGAAAGACGCCCTCATCCAGATCGACCAGCACGCACGACAGTCACAACACCGAGATAACGTGGTTCACCCTTCACAGGCTACGTCCACGGGCAAAAGCAGAACTTCACTAGAGCACGGATGATTACACGGCCTCCATAGACAAGCGCTACTCCAACTCCTTCACTCTTCCGATGCTATCCTAAACTATACGCAGAGAGAGTCAGCTTCTCTCTTCTCTACGAGAAGAGATAAGGTGCACATAATACTTAACCTAACATAACCTAACCACAGTTAACTTCATAACCATGATTATCAATAACTTGAGTTAATCCAAGATAGAGTTAACATAACAAACTCCCCATTGAGTCAAGTCTTGGAGAGTTAACTAATGTAATCCACATGTATCTCCGCAGGAAGTTCTAGAAAGTAAAGCTAAATCACGCTTTCCCTCTATAGCCGAGAGTTAACTAGAACTAAGCCGTAGTCGGCAAAAAACTAGATGGAGAATACATGTACAAAAGTTACTAGACAAACTATCCCTTTGCAAAATTTGCAACTTTGCACAATGCTTGGAAAAAATCTCCAAAGGAATTACTTTGATCAATGCGTCGGCAGGGTTGAGCTTACCATCAATTTTGATGAGCTTAAGTGCACTATTAGACCCTGCTTGTCTGATATAATGATATTGAATATCAATGTGCTTTACCCTACCATCCATCACATTGTTCGATGCTAGATGAAGTGCGCTCTGGCTGTCACAATAAAGACTCACATCACTGTGTGACAGCCCCATCTCAATGGCCAACTTGTTTAACCAAATTGCCTCATTCGCGGCTTCTGCTACTGCAACATATTCAGCTTCTGTGGACGATTGAGAAATGCATTTTTGAAACGTAGATTTCCAACTTATGCATCCACCGGCAAGAGTGAAAACATACCCAGTTGTTGATCTCCGCCTATCCAAATCTCCTCCATAATCAACATCAACATACCCCAAGAGCGAACTTGCATTGTTTGAACGAGCATCAAACAATAATCCTGTATCAAGTGAACCCTTGATATACGTCATAATCCACTTTACAACTTCCCAATGCTCTCGTCCAGGATTTGACATGTACCTACTCACTTTCCCAACTGCATATGCTATATCAGGTCTAGTGCGTACCATAAGATACATAATACTGCCAACTGCACTTTCATAAGCAATAGAAGACATCAATCCTTTAGCAGTTGCATCAGTTGAACATAAAGCTGCTGAAAGCTTAAAGTGTGCAGCTAATGGAGTACTTACAGCTTTAGCATTTGACATGTTAAACCTAGCAAGTACTTTCTCTGCATACCGTGTCTGTGTCAATCAAAGTTTGCTTGATGACTCGTCCCTATGGATCTCCGTGCCTAATATACGCTTAGTAGGATCTAAGTCTTTCGTATTAAACTCAAAACTGAGCTGGACTTTGAGTTTAATAATCTCAGACCTATCCTTAGCGGCAATAAACATATCATCTACATACAACACGAGTAATATCAAGCCAAAACTTGTGTTGCTAACAAGTTTCATGTACACACAAGGGTCATATGCATTTCGTATGAAACCTTGCGTATGCATAAACTCATCAAAACGTTTGTTCCATTGTCGGGGACTTTGCTTAAGTCCATACAAGGATTTAAGCAACCGACAAACCAAACATTTCTCTTCAAAAAACCCTCCTGTTGTCTCATGTAAATCACTTCGTCCAACGTTCCATGTGAAAAGGCTGTAACAACATCCATTTGATCAAGGAATAAACCAAATAATGTGACAAGTGCACACAACAAGCATATAGTTGAAAACTTAGCAACTGGTGAAAAAACCTAAGTGTAGTCGATGCACTTCCGTTGTTCAAAGCCCTTGGCCATCAATCCATGCCTTGAAGATTTTCTCAACTGCATTAGTGGATCCATACTTCACCGTGTAGACCCATTTGCAATCTATAGCTCGTTTTCTAGTGGGCAACTCCACGAGTTCCCAAGTTTGGTTGTCATGAAGTGATTTCATCTACTTTCACATTGCTGCATCCCAATCAAGCTTCTCTGGGACTGATTGAGATTCAGCATAAGAGGACGGACTTCCATCCTCCGTGATCAACGCTTCTCATGAGTCATCAACAAGTAGATTCTCGTCCCTGACAGCATGTTCTGTAGGAAACCAGGTACCATACCTTTCGGGCGCACGACGAACACGCGTTGGTCTTGCAGTTGAAGACTATGTTTGATCACTTTGTGCTGGTTCAGGTGGCGGCTCACCAGCAATGTGTTGCTCCTCATGGACCTCTTCAAGACCAAAATCTTGCTCTTCTGCCTCGCCCGTCATTTGTGGAGCACCTCCTTGTGGCCCATCATGAGAAATTTCATGATAAATCTTTCCCTCAATGGTGTTTGGGGAAGATAAATGGCCTTCGTTAGTAGTAGGATTTACAATCATCCCCTCTTTCGATGATCTTGACTCATTGAAAGAAACATCTCTACTAACAATAAGTTTACCGCCTATAGTATCCCAAAGCCGGTATCCTTTGACATCAGGCTGATAACCAAGAAAAATACACTTGGTAGTCTTGAGATCGAGCTTAGTCCTCAATTCCCTAGAGACATGTGCATAAGCATCACGTCCAAACACTCTAAGATAAGAGTAATCAACATTTCGTTTATGCCACATTTCAAACGGAGTTTTGTAACTTATTGCACTAAAAGAAGACAAGTTTACCAAATAAGCCGCAGTATTGATGGCTTCAACCCAAAAAATCTGTGGTAAACCAGCATGGCTTAACTCCGTGATCTATCCAACAGTGTTTGATTGAGACTCTTTTACACGCCGTTTTGTTGTGGAGTATACACATTGGTAAAGTGGCGGGTAACTCCCTCGTTTTCACATAACGCTCCAAAATCCTAGGACACGTACTCCCCACCGTTGTCTGATTGCAAGAACATCACCTTCTTCCTTGTCTGAGTCTCAACTTGGGCTTTCCACTCCTTAAAAGTGACAAAGACTTCAGACTTGTGTGGAAGAAAGTAGATCACACAAACCTTGAGTAATCATCAATAAACGTAACATAATACTACTTCCTAGAATGTGTGGCAACAGAGGAAAGACCCCACATTTCAGAATGAACATACTCAAGAATTGTCTTGGAACTATGAACGCCAATTCCAAAAGCACGTCAAGTGTGCTTTCCAAATACACACTACTCACAGAATTCAAGCTTGCAAGATCTCAAGCTAGATAATAAATTCTGTATGTGTAAAATATTCATACCTTTTTCACTCATGTAACCAAGACGAGCATGCCACAATCTACTCTCATACTCGAGTGACGTCGTAGCATTGACCTCACCGAGAATTGTAGATACTTCCAAGATGTACAGATTCTTCCGCTTGTGAGCTTTCATTATCACGGCGGAACTTCTCTCAACTGTGAGAATTCCATCAACAGCTTTCCAATGAAAGCCTATCATGTCAACCTTCCCGAGTGAAATCAAAATCTTACGCATACTGCTAATGTGTCTAACATTCGTCAATGTTAGAGTTTTTCCATCAAACATGTGAATTCTAATGGATCCAATATACTCAATCTTACAAGAGTGATCATTTTCCATTAAGACTAAACCTTGAGATCCTGCGTAAGTTGTAAAAAATTCTCAGATAAAACACATGTGATAAAAGCAAGCGGAGTCTAAAATCCATTCAACTCTACCGGTGAGGGAAGAGGTTCACAAGACATAGTCTTCATCATTGTTGGTCACAATAATGAAGGCTATTTGCAGAGGAACCAACATATTCCTCTTTCTTCTCATGTGGTCTACTACGGCAATACTTTTTCATAAGGCCCAGCTTGCCACACTTCCAACACTTCATCTCCTTCTTGTTACCTTCTCTTGACTTGGATCCGTTTCGCGACTTGCTGACGCCAGTAGATCGCTTCTCCATTCTCCCACGAGTGACATAGAGAGCGGTAGATGAAGGAGAAGGTGTTGAAGAAGAAACCAACTTTTGTTGGATGTCGTCCGTCAACAAAGCTGTCACTACCTCGTTATATGTGATGCTCTCTTTGTCTCAATGAAGCAACACACGAGATAGAGTGTGATATGATGCTGGCAAGGAACTTAAAAGCTGCAATGCCTTTTTCTCATCATTCAAATCTTCACTCAAATTTGAAAGATCCACCAACAAATCATTGAAAGCATCAATGTGGTGTTGGATCTTTGTATCTTCCACCATTTTGAAGCTCATAAGCTTTAACGATGTGAAATAGCGATGTGATACTTCGCTTGAAGCGCTTGAAACATAGTTCTCACAAACTCCAACTCCTCCACTTGTTTCAACACATTTGGCTTCAAGTAGAGAATGACAATATTCACAGCTTGATCTTGGATGTCATTCCAATCCTCGTCATCAGCATTAAGGGGTTTATGCTTGAGAACCTTCCCCAAGCCCATTGCCTTGATCACATTTTTGACTTGCCGTTTCCATAGGAGATAGTCGGTACGGCCATCAAATTGTTCACCTTCAAACCTCGGTCCACCAACCTTAGATAGCGCGATAGATTTGATCGGTTGAAGGCGTTCCCGAATGACTTCAACAGGATCCTCAGAGAGAAAGCTTGACTCTTCACTTTCGTCGCCTGAATGCACGGTTCCAGCACCTTCAGCAACAATTGGAACAAGTTTCACTCCTTGCTCCAAGCTACTCATGCCCAAAAAGTGTTCACCGTGTTAAACGTTCTCAACACTTAGCCCAAAAAAAACGTCAAAAATTGAAAGTTCTCAGAATTGAAATCTGAGATCACTCACGCGTAGTCCACAAACCAACACACTGGAATGTGAAAACGGTTTGTCAAAATCACCTCAGAATAAAAAGTTATTAACCCTCGAGTTTAGCGTGGTAAAAACTTGAATCTAAATCCCCCAAGGGAATCTTTCCTACCAAAACTTTACTCAAAGTCTATTTCCAAAACCGTCTCTTAGACTACGTTCTCAACTAGCTTGAGAACAACCCTGTAAAATTTGAGCTCAAACGGATATCATTTGCATATCATAATGCATTAAAAATGCCAAAAAATCAACTCTCCGTCTGATTACTTTTTGACAGTATTCCTCATAGTTTCTCTGTGCAGCTTGGTTGGACGTTTTGTCTTACGACCCAGCTATTTTGGGTAACTTCCGACTCCACTATCTCGGATCGACTTCCAATAATTTTGGAGCATCCTTAAATCTCTCAAAAACTACAAAACTGTGAAATTAGGCTAACAGGAATTGACCTAAATCTTCAATCATTCTTAACTTCGCGACCCTTCATCATAATTCAACAAACTTTAGGTCAAAATGATCAGCTCAAACAGTACATCAATCTTATCTGTGAAGATTTGGAAAATTCGGAAGATTTTCTCACAGTAGATTGTAAAAGAGCTTTCCGCTTCAATTTCCGAAAAATCTCTCTAATCACTCGATGAAACTTTCTACTTCTTTCATCAAAGCGAAATTGATGCATCTGACTACTCTTCTACAGAGAATCAGCCAACAGTATCTCTCAAATTGCAAGTACAATCTCCGACAGCGCTTCCGCGCCTCCCTGCTCTTCAAAAATGTGGAATTAAAAAATCAGCGTGCATTGAACAAGCTCTGATACCAATTGAAACACCCACTCATCCAAATCGATCAGCACGCACGACAGTCACAACACCGAGATAATGTGGTTCACCGGGCAAGAGCATAACTTCACTAAAGCACGGATGATTACACGGTCTCCATAACCAAGCGCTACTCTAACTCCTTCACTCTTCCGATGCTATCCTGAACTGTACGCAGAGCGAAAGTCACCTGCTCTCTTCTATACGAGAAGAGATAAGGTGCACATAATACTTAATCTAACATAACCTAACTACAGTTAACTTTATAACCATGGTTACCACTAACTGGAGCTAATCTAAGATAGAGTTAACCTAACAATGTAATGGACGAAAAGAAATCTATGACATTTTTTTTGTATATAATTGAGACCTCCCAATAATGAGATCTAACCCCAGCAGCAATGCATATTACTGTCAGGAAGTTAGAAGCACTTTACTCTTGTGAGTGACACATCAGAATATTGACTTAAAACCCTAGTACCAATATATGTCACTATTGGGAGGTTTAACTTTACCTTTCATGTATTACTACCCTACGTCGACCAATAAGAATACTGTGTATAGTAAAGTGAGGGCTAATTAGCCCTAAGTGATCAATAACTAGCCGTTCCGTTACCGAAAACCTTCATATTTCCATTTAGTTCATGTTCAAGATTCCAGAGTCATGGGTTAGGTTTAACCATACATAAAGAGGGTCAATGACCATAAGAGAAAATCTCATGCATGGATGCAATAAGATTTATGCGCCATAATCCATAGACCGGTTGAAGTGGTATGTAGTGTTTTGTTCATTGATTTCATAACTCTCGAATGTAGGTAAATTTCAACGATTTCGAACTTTGGTGATATGTTGTTATTTGAGACGAAATAATTTCTTCAACTATCATCACAAGTTACCAGAGTCCAACAATTTACTTCAAATCTGCATCAAATTACGCCAATTGTGTTATGTGTATCACCTGGATATTCTTGGTTGGATCATGACAAACATTGCCCCTTAGCATTACTTCTGCCCACCCGTGAAAAAACAAAATCCACCCAAAATCCATGAGCATGGCACCCAATGGGGCTATGCAAGTTACCTTTCGGGATTGTTTTACATTGATACCTTCGCCTCCAATATATACTGCTCATACAGAAGCTTATGTTAGTAGAACTAACTTAAGCTTCTGTTAGTTCTACTAACATGTAAACAACTTATTTACACAATTTGATGTTCTTAACCTACGTATTATTCTGCATACGATGAAGTACTACAAATGAAACGTTCAACATACATACTTTTAGTACCTAGTTAAGAAGGCATCAAACACTTCCCTAATAAATTCTGACGTCATCGCAGGCGGACAGGTAAAACCGTTCTACAAGATTCGGGAAAATATGAACCATGGTTACTGCGAACCATACATTTTATTTGAAAGTCAAAAGATGAAAAAACATTGGCGTAATAATTTTATCGACTTATTAAAAGTTTACGTGGCTACAAAGCCAACTCAGACATTCACTTCATTGATAATAAATTATTCTCTTCCACCGATCATGAAATTCACAATTCGCCGATTGAGAATGTGGAAAAAGTATCCCGAAAATTTCTCGCAGTGCGAAGAGGTTCCTGGAGATATGGCCAGCAATTTCACAGTGGCTGCGAATCTGGACCTCGATTTGTAAGAACTCCAGGACTGTCACCAACTTGTGGATTTTCCAGCACAGCACGCGAAGAGGCGACCTCGGATTCGTTTGCGGGCTTCTTGTCTGAAGCACGGGCATGGCGATGGGCGTCTGAAATGGCTTGCTCATGCTCTGGCTCGGGCTCTGCCTTCACCTCAAAATGAGCCGCGACGTCATCAGCGGACGGATCATGGTTCTTGACAAGCCTTGCAGCTCTCTTGAGTCTGCGTGGTTTACACGAATGGGTTTGTTGCTCTCGTAAGGGAGGAAGAGTGGCCCACGTCGTACCACCATCCTGCTTTGATCGGGTCATGGTTGGTCCTCACGACGTTGCAATCAGATCCTTATAATGGAAAAAATTCGTCGACAATATGCTGCACCTCGGATGGCCAACTTGTGGAGGTTGAGGTTAACCTCGACACGCACAATCAGGAGCAGTTGAAGGCTAAGTTGAAGCTGTGCAAAAGCTCCTAGCTCATGAAGTCTACACACAAGCACACATATTGGTCAAAATGGTTGTGTGAGTTGCATACATAGAAGCTAAAATCTGGGAATAATTTCGATTTGTCGTAGGTTGCTGAGAGGCTTCTGGGGACGGCATGGAATGGACAAGCATAGCCAAGCTTACCAAAAGTAGATTCGAACGCCTGTTTGCAGCGCTGGAAGAGCAGACAAGACAACTTTCGGCTTCTGGGGACGACAGGCAATCTTGAATGCCGGAGAACATCAATCCGCATGGCTTTATACAAGTCACTTGTGGAAAGCGTTAAGCAGAAGACACTCAGCGTCCTGCAGGTAGAACCGCATCCGTGCTACAGATATTGATTCTTATATTTCGTCGGAGAATATTTAAAATCACGTGAATACAAACTCTCCAACAAATTTCTAAAGACGCCATGTTGCGACTTAAGCAATTATTTATGCTTTCTGAATTAGACGGCAAAAAGGTCATGTGCAAGATGTTAATACTGTAGAGATGCGACTTCTAGGTCCCTAAACCCCTAAACCCTAAAACCCTAGGTCGGGATTTTTCTGCGCTGTGTACGTACAGTGGCGTTCTTTTGAGTCTCCTCATCAGATTTTTTTGGAGATTATCTGGGTTTGATTATACTGGCCAAAAACTGTAATGCTCGAAATTTATCAGATATAGTTATAAATTAAAAAAGCATTCAGGTGTAACCTGATTTTGATTACATCAGAAAATAAGGAAAGGGTTTGTCCCACAATTCAAAACCCAGGCTTCTAATCCGATTCTAGGTACCTCCGGAAATGTTTCTACATGTGTGCGTATAGCACTTTGAGATAGTGGGGTACTGTGCTTTGTATTCCTTCTTATCACAAGTCATTTATGCGGTATAGCTGTTAGCAAGTACACGAAAAATTTACAGTATCTAATTCATCTCAATTTCTCTTCATTATCTTCTTGCTTATGCACTCGAGTCAGCATAATTGAATACATATTTTGTATGAGGTTTTACTGCTAATGCAAATGAGTCTTCCCTGTGGAAGATATCTTTGAATAAATTACTAAATCAGTATCTCAAATATGAATGATGCCCGCGGACTTATATCTTCGAGCGTCATTCTTATTTGAGTTATCCGAGTGATTTTAAACTTTCGCATAAATGTATATCCCATTTTCCGAGGTATGTATTGTGTTATCGTAGCCGTCCAGGTTGCTGATGTTCTGTAACAGAATTCTGAAAATGAGCACAAGTGAGAGAAAGAAACGCTTCACTGATCTGCCAATCGAACTAAAAACAAATCTAAAGAGTTAAACGCTTCACTGATCTGCCAATCGAACTAAAAACAAATCTAAAGAGTTGAACTTTACATTTGCTATCGGTTCAAGTGATGACCTCGTCATCAGAAGAAGGTGGACTTACTCTGGTTAGTCCAATCGTGCCTCTCAAAAGTCTTCCATAATTTGTATTGAAGGTTGAGGTATGATTGCCATGTGGTTGAGAAAAAGCCTTTGAATGCCTCGAACTCTGATTTTAAAGGAACGGGACAGCTCCTGGCTGCAGCGAAAACTTCGGGCCAACTCAAAATCATACACAAACATACAATCGAGAAAGCTGTGTGGAATCATGTTCTGAAAACAGTAGGTTTATTCAAATCACAAAGACAAACGATATCATTCTCCTGTTTCAGGTGAATGATATCGAGGAGCGGATACCTTGATCCTAGAAATCCTTTTCTGGCGTTATCATTAGCCAACTACTGGCTCTGTTTATTATTTGCTCAATCTACTGCAGCTTCGCCGAATTGAATCTCCACTACATTGTGACAATTTCCTACTAAGCTTCCAACTCGGTACGATACTTGCTAGCATACTCATGGAAGAATACGGAGTGTCTGTGTGAGTATGGAGCAAGACCTGGTCGTCCATCTAATAATCCTTGAAGGGAGGGTGCACAGAAGTTCTGTGTTTTGAGAACCGAGTGTTCTCTCCAGCCCCTTCAGTGGACTCATCGAGGCCCGACGACCAGCGCATGTCGATGAAGATGGTTCAGATTTGGTGTATTCGTTTGTGGCTTGGGCTGGTGTCTGTACAAAGTATCATAATGTGTACGACTGCTGAATGGCGTTCGAGTCTATTCCTTTCATTCGCACGACAGATTCCACATGTCCTGTCAACGTGTGCAGCTCTCTCAACCTGTTTCATAGAACAGAAATGTCAGATCGCTAGAAGATCTTGGTGGAGAACAGAAATTGATCTGACTGAGTTCGTGTGGTGTTTTACCTGGCCATCTCTGCTCTTCGTTTGGCCTCAAACGCCAACTCAGGCACGTCCTTGGAACTCTCGATTTCTTTCTTGGCGTCTGCTGTCGTGAGCCCGTGGAGTGTGCGCTGTTGATGTGCCCATTGGGCCTGTCGATCATCCTTTCCGAAGTCCTTCTTGCTGGTGAATGCAGTCTGCATGGCAATCATACACGGTAAGCAGATTCCGTCAGAAAATGTTGAGCTTCAGATTCAGATCTCTCTCCAGAAAGAATGATCGAAGAAATGCCTACAGGAGAAGCAGTCATATGCCTACCCGGCGTTCCAACATCAAATTCCACGCTTTTCCGCTCAATATGTAGCGGATGGCAAACTTGATGGGGTCCAGGGGTATGAAGCTGATGATGGAGTACAGCCAGATTACACCAGCCCATTTCCAGCCGATACCCTTGATGTGAGCAAATGTCCAGTTTGCATACACGGATAGCAACGTGGCAACCTGCAATTCGGGTTGACAGCAGCCATTTGCAGTTGATCAGGCCTATTCAGCAGCTGGATGGCAATGGGAATCAATGAGCTCAATGAGACATACAGACTCTACAGAGTGATACTTACGAGTTGTGCTGCGACAAAGGCACACATTAGAAGGGATCCCGGTCGTTCCGTGAAGCACCAGCCCACAGATCGAGTGACGAAGATCAGAGCTTGACTGATGATGCTGACTTGCAGATATATGGCTGCCGTGAGCTCGGCATGATTTTTGTGCAGCGAGTGCACACCGAACGCGTTCTGCATGTATGGTCAGAATTCAGTACAGCCACAGTGCACAAGGCAGAAATCTCGAAACATGGGCCTTGCTCACACTGCCAACATTCCGTTCTAAACATTTCGAAGAAAATGTGGTTCGAGGCCGTGGGTGCATTCTCACCTCGAAGAAGTGGGTATCATTGGCAGCCCAGAAGAAGAGCACAGTCATCATTGCAAGGTATATGCCGATGACGACACCTTGGGCAAAAATCTCCTTCAGTTTCCAGCTATCAGGAAGAGGAGATGGTTTCACTCGATCCTTGGAGATAGTCATGATTGTACCTGAATACAATTCAGTTCGAGTCTTTCTTAGGTTCCCTTACCATCACAATCCTCTCTGCTCTGCTCAAACGGTGCAAGGCTTTAGAATGAAAAGTATGCCGTGCTGGTCCATTGTCGTCTGATAGCGGGCAGAGCAAACCTTCTTACCGTCGTTCAATATGGCAATGATCAAGACCATGAATGGAGAGAAGTCGAACTTCCAGATCAGAGTCAGCAGCAGAAATCCAAGCTGCAAGGACAGTGGCGGTCTCGTAAGAAAACTAGTACTCAAGACGCCTTCTATCGAGTGTATCGACGACCTCATGATTTGCAAAATGGAATGCTGGAGGGTGAATGGACATTCGGAATCGTGTTCTTTCATGCAGAAGTCCATATTAGATTTGCGCTTGAGAAAATCTTCACGTACCACAATACGGATGGTGATGGAGACAGCATATATCTGTTGGCAAGGAGAACCACAGTCCAGAGTCAGTCACTATCGATTTGCAGAGAAATAAGACTGGATCTGGAATTGCTGAAAGAAAATGGAATCCCGAGGGAAATTTGTACCGGACCACAGATCAAGGAAGAGGTGTTCATATTTTAAATCGAAGTAGATATGAGTGAGTTTGATAATTGTTTACCGTATAATTCTTCATCCTTTGGAAGATTGCTCGACTGGTGAGAACGGCATGGATGATAACACTGAGACCTGGTTCTGTCAGAACGATATCCGACGCACCGCGGGCTGCGTCGGTAGCATCAGAAACTGCGATACCGATGTCAGCTTTCTTCAGAGCAGGCGCATCGTTCACACCATCCCCGGTCATTCCGCAGATGTGCTTCTTCTCTTGCAAGATTTTCACGATCTCGTATTTATGCTCTGCACAGTCAGTAGGCGAGAAGAAGAACTTAGCACCATGCTGCTCGCAAAGTTCGAGTTCATTCACAGAATGTCAGATGAATGAATTATCACGAGCAGAATAGACCCAATTTCATACCTGGAAACACTCCTGCGAAACCATCGGCATTTTCGATAAGTTCGTCGATGGGCAGTCCTGCGATCGACTCATCCTTGTGCTTTCCGAGCAGCGCTGCAGAGGGGTACATGTTCGTTCCCATTCCCAGACGACGTCCGGTCTCCTTGGCGATGGCGAGTTGATCACCTGGTCACAAGTCGAAGCCAAAATGGATTGCGGTATGAGCTCCGAGGGTTCACATGAATCGAAATATTACAAAAGAAGAAAACCAAAATGGACTAGAAGAACCTTGACATGAAAGTGCTACTGGACTCGATTCACAAATGTACGCAGGAAGCCGAGAATCAGTTGTGACTGACTGACTGGTCTTCGAGTTAATACCTGTGATCATCTTCACATTGACTCCCAATTCCAGAGCCTTACGGATGGTCTCTGCACTGTCATGACGAGGTGGGTCGAAGAGAGCCAAGAGGCCGAGGAACTCCCAGGGACCGCCAGGACTGTCCTTGGACTTTTCTGGCACTTCCTGCGCATTGAGCAGAGGTAGAATTAATGCCAGAGTTCCAGTAATTTTGGCTCGAGGCAATAGAAGAAGAGCGAAGAAGCAAGACTTGCAGTCGATGTCTATTCTTGCCTGTCTTGCAACGGCGAGAGATCGCAGTCCACGTTCGGCGAACTTGTCGATCACTTGATGCACTCTGGCTTCAATCTGGTCCTTGTTTTTGGCCAAATGCAGAATCTGCAGCAAGAAGAACAATCAGATTAGCTCGAGTCGAAGTTCTGCTAGAAACAGTACTTTGCTCGAACCGCTGAAATGTCTCGAATGAGTTTCTGGCAATACATCCGCTGTGAGAGCTTCTATGGATCTAGAAACCTCATGCTTACCTCTTCTGGAGCTCCTTTGGTTGCTCTGTGCCATTTTCCAGCTTCGTCGACGAATGTGATGGCCGTGCGCTTGTCCACAGGATTGAACGGAAGGAAGTGAACCTCTCGGATACCAGCACGAGCCTGAACACGGTGTCAGTGATTCTTAGTTTTAAAATCCTCGAAACATGATGCATTCAGGACAGAGAGAAGATGATTGTGATCAAAACTCAGTGACTTGAAAGGTTTGGAGTGAACCTCTTTTGGATCAGCAAGCATTCCAACTATGGCG